ACAAATCTAAAATCTGTAACACATACCAGAATTTGGAAAAACAGAAAGAAGATCAAGCCCACTGAATGCACAGTGTCCCCTTAAGGAAATTATTCCCCTCTAGTATCCGAGGTTTGATTTGGAATATGTCCTCCCAGGATAGAATGATCTCAATCACCAGTGTATTGATACCCAAAACGATGGTGTCAGCGAGCCACTCAACGGCAGTAAAGTACACTTAGAATACTAGATTTAGTAGTAGAAGAAGTCCAGAAAAATTCTATATTTAAAATGAGAGGAAATTTCTCAATTTATAGAAAACAAAGGGTAGTGTGAAAAGGTTCTTATTGTGCCTTACCGGAAAGGTCACAAACCTTTGGAAAAGTCACAATCTTTCGGAAAGGTCACCACCTTTCATAAAAGTCACAACTTTTCATAAAAGTCGCAACTTTTCATAAAAGTCACAACTCTTCATAAAAGTCACAACTCTTCATTAAAGTCGCAACTCTTTATAAAAGTCGCAACTCTTCATTTTTCATTCACACCTTTTAAAACCCAACAATACCTCCAATGAAAACTTTTTAAAACACTCATTTGGAACTTCTTTTTTAAAAGCATGCATATTGAACAATTGCATAGCTTCAGGATCAAGTAGTGTAGGCCTGCGTATCTTGCATTACCCTTCTCTATCAAATGTCTATTTCTAGTTGTTACAATAACTCTGCTGCCATTACCAAACCAACCAACATCACCTGCTAAATACTCCAAATGATCACCATGATCTATGTCATCGAGCACAATTAGCACTTTCATAGAACAAAGTCTACTCGAAATCATGCACTTCCCATCATACTTATTATTGACGTAATTATTTTTTTCTCTTAACAGTTCAGAGAGAAGGATATTTTGTAAAGAATGCAGTTGATTCTTTCTTGCATTTTCTTTAATATCCGCTAGAAAACAAGCAACTTTAAATTGATAAGATAGAGTATCAAAGATGGCTTTTGCTATTGTTGTTTTTCAGACTCAACCTATTCCCCAGATCCCTACAATCCGAACATCATTGGTTTCTATTTGAAGTCGAGATTTTAGTTCCTCTAAATGATCATTTATTCCCACAACATCTTGTAGAGAAGATAAAGAATGAGTACTTTTGCCAATTTTGGAAGAGATGTGGTTGACGATCTGCTGAATTTTCTCTGATTCAATCCTACATAAATAATAAGATTGATTGTAGACAATGTGAGGAAGTCAATTATTAGTAAGTAATTTATATTTTTAATGTTCAGGAGCGTATTGAATAGGAAACATTATAGTTTAGGGTAATATCAATAAATTGTTAATTTTTTTCATTAAATTGCACTTATGTGTTTTCAACGCACCCGTCCCGGATATCATATCCTTTTAGATTCGTGGCAGCAGTTAGGGCAATTCTCCATCCTTGCACCTTCTGCATCCCCTCAACATCATCTTTATACCTCAATTCATGTTTGGCAAATGTTTCTACAAAGCTCTCACTTTGGTATCGAACATGTAATGGATCCACATCGTAGAAGATCGGGATAACTGTTTGTCCATTTTCTTCCTCCTTGAATTCCATGATCTTTACTAATTCATTCAAGCACCACCTCGATGTAGCATAATTCTTTGAGAAAACGATGAGTGCAACTTGAGACTCTTCGATAACTTTCAAGAGTTCTTCTGGGATGGAATCGCCTTGCTCTAGCCTTATATCATCTTGAAAGGTGAATATTCCCCTGTTTTTCAAACCTTCGTACAAGTGACTTGTAAATGTTTTACAGGTATCTTCACCTCTAAAACTTAGAAAGACATTGTACTTCCATCGAGGACAGTATCGTGAATTACTTGCGGAAGAAAAAGAAGAAGAGAATGCCATGTATTCGGTTCATTGTCTAACAAGAAAAAATTAAGTGTATGGTGTTTTATTAGGAAAATACATTTGGACTGGTTTAAGAATCGACACTTAATTTTTAAGAAAAATAAAGAAAACTATTATTTTCAAAAGACTAAAACAGTAAATCTATTGAAAACTATTAAGGGGGTTCGAGGTTCCTATTAATATTCTAGGAAGGTTTTTAAAGCACCTAGAATATCCGCTAATGCGGTTATCCGACAATTAATCCTTTGGCTAAAACAATTTTAACTTAGCTTGACTTTGCAAAATTGAACTATTTAGTTAGTTAGGACCGTTTTAATGGAGGAAAAGAAAAATATTAAAATATTAGCTAAGAGAAATATTTTATAAAATTATTTATTTATTTATTTTTAAGTCAAGTGAAGACGAGACTGATTTAGTTAAATTGTTAAATCCAAATAGGTGTCTCTCGGGGATTTGAATTATTGGCCTTAAGATAATATTAACATATAAAACACGTAATAATCAAATAAATGGGATAGGGAAAGAAGGTTTGGGCCCAAGCCTAGATCTGTCCGCCTGGGCCAGTACTTGGACCCATTTTTGTTTTGGGCCTTTGGCCCATTTGAGTCATCTGCACCTGTCCTAGTATAATATATATAAGACATTTCTTTGGGCCTTAGGCCCATTTTTTCACCTGTCCTAAGCACTAACAAAATAATAAACTTAAGCAGGCTTAGGCCCAAAATAACAAAATACAAATTTTTGAATTAAGAGTGAGCCTTTGGCCCAATTTTTTTAATTTTCTCGATCTTTTGCTTCTTTCAGCTTCGGGACTTGTTCGTCGACTTTTATAGCTGGCCGATTGACTCGAAAATAAGGAACTTGAGCCTTTATGGCTCTCCCGAAATGCAAAGGGGAGGTGATATGAGTTCATAATGAACTCGGACAAATTTCACATGCAAACAAAATAAATAAATTGTAAGTAATATCCTCACGATTTAATATAAGAACATAGTAAAAAAAATAACGAAATAAGTGTCACGCCTAAATGTCACTACAAGCACGAGACAATTTTTTGATTAGCAATTAATAATGGCAAAAACCAAGTAAAGCATGCATATGAGGAAAAGGAGAAAAAAAAAAAAAAGTCCACAGGAATATATCAATGCATTAAATGCAATGATCAGCCGACAACAACAATTTATAATAAACCAATTTAGAATAGCAATTGTAAGGCAGCAAAGAATAAGCAGACTTAGGGAAAAAAAGGTTAGGAATTCCTATCAAGGTTCACAATAGGACAATACAATAACTTATTCCGATACTAAAATTGATTCCGAGCTTCATTTAATAAGAAGACCACACTAATGAGGCACGAACTTAAGGCAACAAATTTATAGGCAACGAAGCTAAAGCTGAAATCTGTAAAGAACAATGAAACAAGATCCCACACCTTATGAAACTTATCTATCTAAAATGAGGTTGACCCGAGTACGATTTTCGCTAACAGAAGATCTCATCCAACCATTATACTAGGACTAAGACCAAAATAAGTAAACAAGTACCTAGATAAAAATGCCCAGATCAAAAACAGAGATGCTAAGACCCTACACTATGCTGAAACAGCAGGAATGTACAAGGTAAAGAACAAAAACAAAAATCATACAGAGAAGAAAGAATGTTGCCGAGTCGAGTTGAAATGTGACATTTTCGGCTGGAAATCAGATTGTTTGGAGACAAAGCTTGGTGTAAACATATTACATTATGCAGTAAGACAACAAAGACATTCAAAAGATGGGAAAAACTAAGCGATTAAAACAAGCACGCGACTATACCATATATATCAACCACATAAATTGACCCCTTTAAAAAAAAAACTAACCTATAAAAGAGTAATTTTTAGCAGTGATGACCTTAAATATAGCATAACTGGTGCTGAACATGGACGAAACAACACAGATTTGATAACACTCAAGAACTAGTTTCAAGAAATGGGACGTCAAAACGTATTCGAGCAAAAAAAAGGCAGAAACAACCATACTAGATAGAATTTGGCAGAGCCTTAAAACAATATTACGACTAACCCATGAAAGCGATTAAGAACATGTACTTCATGTCAAAGCAACATCAATCCAACAATAACTAATCAGCGAATGACCAATACAATGGTGATTTTCCAACATCAACAGAAACAAATATCAAAAGAGACGAGGAGAAAATTATCGGAGTAAACGGGCTACCTTTCTCAGGGCAGCGAAACAGGACGAAAGAGCTAGAAAGCCGCGACTTCACACCAAGGGAGAGTTTCGGGAGCCTCAGAATAAAGAAAATCCGAATCGACTTCAAACGTGGACCCCTTCGAGAACTTCCCACTAGAAAACCGTATTCGATCTATGGAATATGAAGCTTTAGTTTTCTTTCGTTTTCTCCCTAATTTTTTTTTTTTTGATATTCTCTCCCGCCAGCTCTCTCTCAATATTTTCTCCAACTATTTTCTCTAACACTAAATTTCTAACTAAAAAAAAGACTGCCCTCTTTTTCTTAAGCTACTCCCTATTTTTCAGCTTCTAAAAAATTTCTAACTCTCTCCAAAAAATCCCCTCTATCAGTGAATAAAAGGGAATACATATAGGGATTTTTAGGGCTGATTCGGGGGGAAATTTTTGGGTAAGAGGGGACCTATTCGAAATTCAAAACTCTCAAAAACTTTCACCATTTAGGTGAGACACCTTTTCCCTGCAGATTCAACCCATTCCGGAAGTGGAAATGGTGAGATAGATGGCTGGGATCGACTGATTGTACCCGCTGTTCGACGTGGCCTCATCTCGAGGCTGTAAGGACGGATTTCGCGGCTGTTGCAGGTGCCTTTTTGCTGCTGGAACAGTACTATCATACTAGTTGAAGAGGAATACGCGTCCTCCGCTTTGGAGCCGTTGGAATTTCTGCTTTTCCGTGCATTTTCACGCTGTTGCGTGCTTTTCCGTTTGTTCACTGTGAAAGTCGCTTTCTGGGTCTCTTTGCTGAAGAAGAAAAGGGTTGGGTCGGGTATTGGTGTTGTACTATCATTATTGTATTGGGTTTGGGATGGGTTTCTGATTTGGTGTTGTTATTGAATGGGTTGGGCTTTGGGAATTGGGTCGTTGGTTGCTGAAAAATTAGGAGTAGAGGGCCCAAATTCTTGGTCTTAAAATGGGCTTGAGGAATTGGCTTAGGAAAATAGCCATATGAACGTGGTTATGGCCAAATGGAAATTATGAAGCTAGCCGAATTGACTTTAATTGGTTGTTCGACCAAAAACTAAATAAGACGAATTAGTATAAATTAAATAAAGAGCTTCTTAACTTCAACGAAATAAAATCGCAAACTAATTAATCTAAAATTATAATCACAACTTAAACACGCTTCTCGAATTAACGAAATAAAATAATATATATATATATATATTATTTTATTTTATTTTTAAAAAAAACTAATTATCTTAAATCGTTTAAAATTGGAGAAGCTCGATGATTAATCTATATTGTGGAGGTCCAAAATTGGGTGTCAACATATATATGGATGAGATCAACTGATGAAAAAAATTATATAGAGCAAAAAAGAAATAAACAAGTACCAATTCAAGCATGAAAGCTTCCATGAATATTTGCTCTACTCCAATACTAATAAGAAAATTTATGGTTATGGACCACTATTCATCTGCACAAAGAAAAATTGGACCATATTACTATTATAAGCAAACAACGCAAATCTAATTAGTTTTGGGGGTCTAATTATGTGTATTTATTTTAATTTTCGAAATTACCTTCTATACCATATTTACTCATGCGGATTAAATAAAGTGTAATTTATTCTAAATACACTGTAGTCAAGTGTGATTTACATGTATTTGAGATATACCGATGTATTTGAGTAAGGCATGTGTGGAGCCACGCCTTAATTCCTTGCATTTATATTTGATTGTGAATGGAGTTGACGAATTCCAACATAAATTGAGAAAAGGTCACCAAACTCTAGCTTAAGTAATAAATGGAGTTAAATACATTTGGGATGTGTTTAGAAGAGTAAATATACACGTATATTGTACGTATTTCAATTTAACATTTCGACGAAAGTGCATACTCTTTAATATTTCTTTTGTTCCTTTTTATTTGTCACAGTTTTTTTTTTTTAAGTTAAACAATATGAACTTTGATTAATATTTTAAAATGTATTTTTTCATCGTATTGTTATGTAAAAAGGTACAATTTAGATTATATTTTTATATTTTTTGAATATCGAAATTTTTATTTTAAAACATCTAATTAATATAATCTAATTTAGCTTTGAAAATAAATCAAATTAATTCTCAAAAAAACACAACATAACAACTAAAAATGAACGGAGGAAGTAATAAGAGTGATAAGTGTCGGTAGCTATTTAGTTCTTTCTCATTTATGGTAATGGACCCACTATCCATCTGCACAAAGAAAAGTTGGACCTTATTACTATTACGAGCAAACAACACAAATCCCACTAGTTTAGGGCTAATTACGTGTTTTAATTTTAAATTTTGGAAATACCTTTTTTATTATATATATTTACTTCACCAGATAAGATACACCGACTCTCTTTCTCACTCTCTATGTAACTGTATTTTAGAATGTATCTGATGTGTGTATATATAAATATAGTATCAAAAGATACATGTTGACTTTCTCGCTCGCCTCTTTCCCTATACATCTGTTAGTATTTATGGTAAAATGTTTGTGTAAATAGATAGTTTTCTTACTATTGTTGATGGATTGGTATCTTCCATCACAATGAATAGATAAAGTCAAGTTGTGTTGTCGGTGACAAAGAAATTACCCTTCTTTTTTCTTTGCACCTTTCATCCACTTGTATAGTGGTCCATTCTGTGCATATTATTACACTGGAATTTTTAAATTAACTCTAGTCTTCATACTTTGTCGGTTACAAAGAAATTGCTTGGAAATAATCTTACGATTTCAAACAAACAAGATCCACAATTTGTTAGGTAAAGTTTCATAACATTGGAGTTTTGAAGTCTAGTCTTCATACTTTGTCGATCGGTCACAAAGAAATTACTAGATATAACCTTACATTACAATTTCAAATAAACAAGGCCCACAATTTGTTAGGTAAAAACTTCATTTTATACCATTTTATTTAGATTATTATTTATAAATTCAGTCTATTTCGATTGAGAAATAATATTTTGTTCCAAATGTGAGTTTTAATGGATATCAATAAAGTCGATATGATATTTCAGTTCTACCTTCTGGATTAGATCCGAATCATAGGTTGCTTCTATTATGAATATGAATGGAAATTATGCTTCATCAATAGAATATTTGAGCTCTACACTTGCAAAATTTAGAAGATGGGGTCTACTCCATTGAATTGAATTATTGTTGTGGGGTCCACAGTAATATGAACACAATGGGACAGCTTAAAATATAAGTGGATGAAGCTGCAAAGAAACACTATACCATAGAAAAAATCTTCGTTGAATCCAAATATTGCAAGTTAACCTACTCGGTATCCTGCACCAACGTACATTGAGGCATGACTTAATTCAAATTCACGGAATTAAATTCTCACATTGAGAGTAAAACACTTTCTAATAAAGGCTACTCAATATTCAAGCTTAGAGATGTGCATTGTTTGGGTTAAAACCGAAAAATTAAATTTTGGTTATTTTTTATTTGTTTTAAGATGAAGAATTAAAAATTTTGAAATATAATTGCAGGCATGAGTAGGTGTTGGATGTATGGTAGGATCATGTCGAAAATGTGAGAATTGTAGCGTTGATCTCGAGAATTACTGTCCTCGTCAGATTCCTACATACAACGGCTATAGCTTATCTGAAAGTTTAATCTATTTGAGAGAGCACCCTTTATTTAATTAATCGTGTTTTCAACACACCCTTGCCTGATTCTTTTCACGAGTCAAACACGTGATTTATTTATTTTTGATAATGGTGGTGTTGAGGTTTTTGAACTCACGACCTCCGCCTACTCTGGTTCCGTGTTGAAGTGTGTGACAATCTTATCTAAAACTTAAGTTGTTATGCCAGTTTAACAATTTAAACACGAGAATGGGGGCTAACTTTTTGTTTATTTGTTTTGTTTATATACGAACAAGCTGCAATGAACACATTGGATGGGATTATCGACACTGTTTCGGCAGTTCACCCTAATCTTCCATTGCTTATGTTAATGAAATCTCATGGGAAGCTTGTTATGGTTGGTGCACCAGAAAAACCAGTGGAGTTGCCTGTGTTTACTCTACTTATGGGTAAGTATATGTAGTTTTCAAATAAAAAGTTCAGACGAACCAGAAAGTTTGTATATATAATAATGTGGAAAACAGGAAGGAAGGTAGTGGCTGGAAGTTGCATAGGAGGGATGAAAGAGACTCAAGAAATGTTGGATTTTGCGGCAAAGCATAACATAACACCAGATATTGAAGTTGTGTCAATGGACTATGTGAACACAGCGCTGGAGCGTCTTCTGAAATCGGATGTGAATTATGGTTTCGTGCTCGACATTGGCAATACATTGAACAAGAAATGAGAATATTAATAGGACCGGGGATTTCCATCCAATATATGGTCTAGCAGTGTTTCTTTGTTTAGATTACATTAATTTCAGAGATGATTAATTAATAAAATGTGTTTGTTGCACTTATAAAATAGAAAAACAATGTCACATTTTACAGTAGATATCAATAGAGACTACGCTTCATTACCAATATATACCTATATTTAATCTATAATCCGGGGCTTGTGGGAAAGAGCGGCAAGAGTGACACTTGTACTTGTGACCTTTGTTTCTTAGAAGGGGAGAAACCGGCCTCTTCATCACGTTCATATAAGCCCTTCCTTATCCCAATGTGAAGCTCAGTTTCATCTTTATACAACAAACGAACTCCATATATAACTAACTTTCCAAAATTTATTTCTCCAAAATCATTTCTCCGATGGGAATATAACTTCATGCACCTATAGTCATTTGGTGTTTTTCCATTTGCATTAGATGCATCCCATAAGCTACCAAGAGGTATCAAGAAAAAATTAATATCGCATCCATCAAAATATTTTGAATGGTTGGATAAGGAAAGTTTTCGGGTCATCGACGACATCCCATCATCACATAAGGGAATCAAATGAGCTATGATGTCATCAATTAATATGCCATAGTAACATATAGCAAATCCCAAGAACTTATCCGATACATACCAATTTTCAGGCAGACTGATTGATACACGTGAACCTTTTGTCTGATGGTGAAACCAACTTGGGATATATTCCCCACTCCGGAGATGCGAACTCATAAACACTCTTAGTGACAAGGAATCTGAAACAGAGATGTCATGCTGCAATGATGAGATATTCTGAAACAATGAATTACAAAATGAACCATTTCTCCAATCTGCAAATATTCTATCTAATTGCTGTGGAAATTCTGGCAGCTGTGTAAGCTTCTTGCAATTTGATAAGTTCAAGGATCGAAGAGCACTAAGTTGGGCTATGCTACGAGGCAAATACTCAAAATGATTTCCCTTGAGATTCAACTCTTTCAAAGAGGATAAGGATCCAATGTCATCCGGAAGTCCTCCATCTTTTAAAATGCAGTAACTGAGATTCAACTCTTTCAAAGAGGATAAGGATCCAATGTCTTCCGGAAGTCCTCCATCTTTTAAATTGCAGTAACTGAGATTCAGTTTTTCCAATGAGTGTAACCCTTCGTTCACCTGAGGGAACACAAAGTACACTCCCGCTACTCGTTTTGCAAAAGTCAATAATTTAAGCTTGTTCAACCGGACGATGGAAGACGGAGGTCGTGAGATTAGAGTATAGCTGGCATCAAGCTCCTCCAAGTTTTCTAAATCACCAATCTCTTCTGGCAAGCTTTCAAGTTTTGCGCAGTTCGACACATCTAGCTTCACCAAAACTTTCAACTTACAAATGCTGCTTGGAAGAGATACAAGGTTTTTCATGTCACACAAATCTAGCTCTGTAAGACGACGTTGGAGATCAAAGATAGATAATGGCAGTTCCCTTATCCCAGAGAATCGCATCTTAATCTCTAACTCCGGCTTGATTATTCCAAGGACTTCTGGAAATTTCTCTAAACTAGAGCAACCATCTAGCTTCAGAGATTTAAGAGATTCCATATTAACATATGGAAACCTTGCAAGGCTTCTACACTCAGACAATTTTAACTCAATGAGTTTTCTGGAACATCTTAGGGAATTGTGAACCTTTTCAAGACTCGTACATTCCCTTAGGTCCAAATACTCCAAATTTGGCATCCCCGTGAAATTTGGTGTTCTCTTCAGGCTTTCAGAGCCACTTAGATCTAGCCTTCGTAGAGACAGATATTGCTGTTATTCAAAACACAGAAAAAATGATGAAAAATGAGTAAAGTAGTAAACAACATTTTTAAGATTATAACTCTGTGAAATTAGAAATTGTTTATTTTACTTCATATGGAAATTACATGCTCTGGCACTAGATAAAAATGTTACTCCCTCCGTCCCATTTTATATGATGTACTTTGATTTGACACAAACTTTAAGAAAAATGGAAAGACTTTTAAAACTTGTGGTCCAAAATGAATGATAGAAATTTGTGTGGTTATAAATCATTTCATTAAGGGTAAAAAAGACATTTTATAGGCAAATTGTTACTTAAAATAGAAATGTGTCATTCTTTTTGGGACTGACTAAAAAGGAAAGTAAGTCATATAAATTGGGACAGAGGGAGTATTATAAATTGGGAAAAGGCTCAAATATGTTTTTTTTTAAAAAGACTTATCTGTGTCATTTTCATTTAAGAAAAAACTCATCCATGCCATTATATTACGGGTTAACGGAGAGTTCATACAGTTTTGCAAAACCATTTTGTTCACATGGTGAGCGATTATTCAGCAATGTCATTAATTACATTTTTTTTTTAAAAACAGCCAAATTTCTAAAACCGGTTTTAATTTTTTTAAAAACACCCAATTATAAACTCACACGAAAATTTTCTCAAATAGTCATAACTTTTAAATTTTTCTTTGTCTGGTATTTAAAATTTTCTCAAATAAACGAAAAATTTTAAAATTTTATTTATTCCTTTAATTTTCTCCGCCTTTTCTTTACTTGATTTCAAATATCTTGTATTTTAAATATGTTAATTTCAGACAAATACAAAAATAAAAGTGAATGAAATCAAATAAGACATAAGAAAAATTTAAACGTAAAAAATAAAGGACACTTTTTAAAAAATATATTAGCATTATTTTTTTAAAAAAAATAAACATAATTTTTTTGGGTGGGTTTATAATTTGGGTGGTTTTTTTAAAAATTCAAATGGTGTCTGAAATTTGGCTGTTTTTTTTTTAAAAAATAAATTAATTAATGACGTGGCTGAATCATTGTTACCATGTAGACAAAATAGTTTTGCAAAAAGATTTCATTTTTTTTTTTGCAAAAATTAATGATGTGGCTGTTTTCTTTTTTATCGTTTTTTTAATCAATTTTTTAGCAAAAAACCTTGGCTAGAAAACAATGGCCGAACAGAAAAGTCGTGCCAAAATAATAGAGTTCCAACGACATATCTTTTTGTTTCTTCTTTAGATGCGATGACTATTCATTTTAAGTGTGTACATTCTCTTTTTGGCAAAATATGTATAAAACTCCTTTTGCTTTCAGTAAAATGATTTTTTGAAGCCCAAGTAATGGAGTTTATCTCTGCATTTAATAAAACGTACCAAGTTTAGAAGAGTTTTTAGTATCATACCAAAAATACAAAAGTAATGTTAAATTAATTTAGAATGATATAAAAAATCGTTGCCAAAGAGAAAACAAAGTGTTAAATTTTTGTACTAGCTTTATTTTGCTCCGTTAATTATCTTCTCTACAATAGAAAAGAGCATCAATATAGGGTATTTACATGGTCCATTGGGTATAATTCTAAGGAAAAATCGACGTTAACTATATATGGTTTGGATTTCTTTACCAGACTTATCTCCTGATTTGTTTGCAAAGAAGTCTATGTTGTCTATAACATCGACAGTTGGGAAACCAATAGCCATAGATAAAACTACTCAAATCAAGTCAAGACCTAGCAAGGCTAAGGTCAAGGTTATACTTGATCTAATGGAAAAACTTTCAAATCATATAAGATTGCAGTTTGTGGATGGAAAATTTGATAAGTTGATCGAGGTTTTTTAGGAGGTATACTTGATATAATGGAGAAGCTTCCAAATTGTATAAGGTTGCAGTTTGTGGATGGAAAATCTGGTAAGTTGATCGAGGTTTTTCAGGAGATTGTATATGATAATCTACCTTTGTATTGCAATTATTGTAGCACCAAGTTCATGATGAAGGTAGTTGTCATTTGATCTCGAAAAAGAAATCAAAATGACAAATAAATTGATGATACTATTAAAGTTGCTTTAATAGGTACTAGCGATAGTGAAAATATCAAGGTGATGTAAGAGAAATACTAAATGAAAAAAATAATAATCATAGATGTCGATCAAAGTAAAGTTATTGCTTTAGATCAACAATTGGTTGCTGCCACTTCTGGGAAAATTGTGCAGACTCAATGAATGTTGATACAGGTAATATTGGTCTTCAAACAACTACTGGAAACAAATATATTTTAGAAGTTTCAAATGATCAAGAGCTAGCTCTAAGTCCAAAATCTGTAGAGATATTACAACAACAAAAAAGTGTGGATGCTAAAGGTGATTGCAATAACCAACAAGTTGCTATTAATGATGTTCAATCAAAAGAATTTGGGCTGAATTTGATGTCTAATGCAACTAAAAACGCAAAGGGAACTCCAAAAAATGGATTGATGCGTCGCGAGTTGATTCGGGACAAAAACTAATGGATACAACTGATGTTGAAAATTCCGGGCATCATGCTTTGCAAGTTAAAAACGAGAATGCAACTAAAAACTGGACACTAGTTGCACACAAAAAAATCAACTAGTAGCCGGACCCTTTCCATGACTAGTCAAAAAAATTCTCCATATAATGGAAAAGGTGCAATTGGGAATTTTCAGGATAGTGAGAAGAGGCAAGATATTTGTAATGCCTCGAGAGACTTGTTATGTTCGAACAACTTTGATGCTTTAGTGAAGGCTACTGGAAAAGATGGCAATATTATGGCCTCTAATCCTGAGGTAGCTAAGATTATTCAAGAAAATCGGGAATGTCATGCTACTCAATTCCAATCCAGTGATTAAGTCATTCATGGTCACATTGAACACCTCGACTAAGATCTCTACCCAACTTTGAAGTAGCTTGGTAAATCTGGACAACTAATAAGGTAAACAAAAAATGAAAACGATTTGGTCCAAGAAGAGAAGGTTTCACCACCTGCTATCAATAGTAAATTAAGCCAAAAAGCTTCTGTATTTGTGCCTAAATGTGTGATTGCAAAGAAGATGTAACACCCCAGAAAATTTTTCGAACTAAGACTCGAACCGTTCTTCATAGTGAGTGAGAATTTACCAAGGAATTAAAATTTTCTTAAGTGTTAAGGTCACTAGATGTAGCACCTTGAGTTCCAAAAAGAATT